AAATTTGATCCAGCCCATAAATCATACCACATTGCGGTGTCTTGCTGCTCGTGTCATCGTGAATCATAGAATATATTATAAAGGGCGTATCCCAGAAAAGCTGGAGACCTTTGTTTCACTTCATAGATGATAATTTGACTATGTTTTAACACTGTCAAAGCATGAATTGTTAACAGTTGTTTCATAAACGAGCACAGTTGTAATAACACCAGCATTCATTTAGCTTGATATCATTGTGCTCTCATCGGCTAACATTACAACCATCAAACTTACAGGATTGGTTTCCCAGTATTTAATATAAATATAGCATATAATATATTGTTTGTGAATTACTAAGAACTGTAATATCATAGCCAAATTTCTAAAATTGTCTGCCAAAGGCTTAATGATTCTGGTTTTGTTTGCTGTGGGGTGTTTGGGACAGAGTTAACTGTTTTTCAGTGGTATCTTTATACTTTACTGGCTTGTGAATTTTATACAATTGAAGATTTCTTTTTTCTTGCTTCTGCCTTCTCTTCTCCAAGCTTTTCCCAGTTCCCTCCCCACCCCCAACCATTTCTACTACAGTTTTCCCCCTTTACCAACCCATGCTAGGTCTTATAAACCTTATGGACTTGTTACTACCATTTGCAGTTACCATAAGTGCTTTGTCTTCTCTGTGCACCGGCTTAAACTTGACTGTTGTATGTTAGCATATTTTCTATGCAGCAGTTGGTTAACTTCAGTTTAAAACAACGTTTTCTTAAGTTTGTTATAGAGTTCATTTTATGCAAATACTCTTGTAGCATGACAATTTTTAGAGCTGCAGGTTAGCTATCTGAGCTCAAGCCTTTTATTTTTTATTGTTTATTTTTCTTTCACATCTGAAGTTTCTTTAATCCACAGAAACTTTTGTGTGCTACATTTGGGAAACAAATCTAACTCATTAACCCAGTTGAAATTTAGGTCTGTCATCTTAATATATCACACAGTAAAAGGAAGACTTTAAAGTGACCCACCTTTCATACTGCTCCAGCATTGTCCTGCTTGTGCTGATAGTGTGACTAGGAGTAGAGAATTTGTTTAAATTTAACCTCAGAGTTTATCACACACACAGCTTAACAAATCACACTGAAATACTCAGTCACTGAACTGCAAATCACTTTTAGTTACAAAAAGAGCTAAAGCATGTCAGTGGCATGTTGCTTGCCAAGCCAGATCTGGGCATCTAGGATAATTAAGGTATTTCAGTATGCAGTTTCCTGCCATAGTATCGAAGGTCAGTAACAGTGTTCTTTCTTTCTTCAAACTTATGTATGCCTTAAAGATAACTTGCATGAATTACTTTGGTCTCAATTATTTGTCACCCTAGTTAAACACAAAAAGTTACAGTACTTCCTGTTCCCACACTGAAAGTTAGCTTTGTTTTCCTTTTTCTTTCTTTCTCTCTTCCTTCCTTTCTTTCTTTTTTTCTTTCTCAGATTTGCTATGCCACAGAAAGGGCTCTTTTAACTTAAGTGAAAAGTACTAAAGAGATTCAGGTAATTATCATTCAGCACTTTATTGTTATTCAGAATAAAATTTATGATGGCATATTTGCCCTGCAAATGTCTTACTAAAATTGTTCTGAATAAAAAGTTCCTTATTGATTTGAGAAAAATTCAGTTTACCTGTGAATTTAATGACCTGGATCACCTACTTGGATTTTGGGGGTGACATTTTATTCTGAGGGTTGATGTGATGCTATTTAAAGAGTCATAGTAGTTTTATCTTCATCTTTATTCAATAAAAACTTGTAATGAAGAGTAGTAAATAGTAAAGAACTTAGACTTTTTGGTTAAATAATTGAGGTTTAACTTTTTAAAACATACCCTTATTTTACTAGTTTGTAAATTAATTTCACCATTTAAAGGAATGGATTAATAGGTACACACCAACTTTTTGATGAAGAGATTTTACTATCCCTTATTTACTATGGGCAAATTTGATGAAATATTTGAACTGCTCCATATAAAAATAATTATGATTTAGTCATATTCTAGAAATATCAAACATTGAGTTCATTTGCCACTAACCCTGTGCTATAAGAATTATATATGCATAAGCTACTTTTAAAAGAAAGAATAAGTTTGCCAGTGTAGTATATATACATTAATTGAACTCAGTTTTGGGGTGAAAAATGACAATTATAATTTTAAGTGATGTACTGTTTTCTCCTTTTCTTGGTAAGGTGGGACTTACATGTTCTTAGAGCAAGGCACATCTGACACTGTTTACAGGGGTACTGGAATCTTGCGACTTTAGTGCAAAATAAGGATTTCTTTAGTGTTTTTCCACCACTAAAAACGGATAGCTTAGAACTAGTCCTCAGTCTTGATAACTGCAATGCTTTATATCAGTTCAGATACAATTCTCTGCAAAGGCCTGTAGGAGCCCTTGAAAAATCAGTGAATAGCTCAAAATTTTATTTTAGGATTGGTTAGTAAATGTGACCTCAAATACTCTTTTAAGACCTTCATCAGAAATTAATCTCAAAATCTTGAGCCATTTAGGCTCTTTAAGTTTGTGTTTTTAAAACCATAGGAACAAATTAAATACTTAGTGAACTAATTGAATTTATGTAAGTCAAGCTTTAAACTATAGAATGGTGATGTTGGCTGGAGTTAATGTATAAATTTTGATTACATTTCTATAAAAATGACGTTAAAGGCCTTTTGAATTGTAGGCGTTCTGTAAAGAAATGGTCGTTTTACTCAGATAATCAGTCTACTTTCTCAAGACAGATACAGATTTAAAAATAGTCATTTTCTTATCCTTAACGCAGATGGGTGTAAATCTAAATCAGCAGAGGTAATTTGGAGTCCTTTATGATTTTGAAGTTAAATGATTGCTTACTTTTAAAGTTACTACCTTATATTTTAAAGACCCCATTTACTGTGAGTTGGGAAAACTGTTTAGGTTCTATTTGGAAAAGTAGCTCTTTAATATTACTTAGCAAAAACCCTAGACTAAATTTGCAAGTATAATCTTGGAATTATTTTTCTGGGAATTGTAGAGGCTGAATGAGATAACATATTCTTGTACACTGTAACAGCAGCGCTATTGTTTGGAACTTTAATAATTTTAAAATTAGATACTAAGGAAACTAAAACTAATTGGTCGTCTTTCTTTTTATGCCCTTGTGTATCACTAAACAGTTTCTCTTCCCTTTGTCAGTTCCCATTGTGTATTTTTCAAAAAGAAGTACTGTCTTCAGATGCCAGCCTATAAATTGTCACACAGTGGAAAATCATATGCCACCACATTCATTGTAAGGTTTAATAAAAGTAAATTTGCACCAAGTTTAAGTGTACTCTTATTAACTCTTAATACTCAATGGGTATTATTACCTAAAGTATATGATAGTGGACTCCTTTTCCAAAAGGATAATTATGTGAATAATTACATGATAATTTTGTGAACTCAAGAGCTAGAATATATTATTAATACTTCTATGTAAAAAAAGATGATTTATGTGCCATTCTCTTTTTTTCTAGTAAGGACCATAGAAACTAAAAATAATGGGAAGGGTTGTGAAATGTATAGGGTGAGGGCTGCTCTTAATATGTTGTTTTTCATAGGTTTGTTATTAGTACCAGAAGTATATATAGTAATACAATAATATATTACAATGAAGGTAAGTTATATATGTAGCATTTTAAAATCATAAAATCTAAGTAGTCCTTGCCTTTTCCTTATATCTCAGTTATCTAATGCATTTTAATTGATCCAAAGAATATGTTAGCCATAATTTCTGAATTCTTGAGCACAAATTCAAATACAATGTTAACAGGTTTTTCCTTTTGAATCATTAATGTATCTAATCCATGACAAGTATAAGCTTTGTCATCCTTTTGAAAGGGTTGTTTTAAAGTCTTTTTTATCCCTAATTCTGTGGTTCTATAATTGTCTTCACTACCACCACAAATATTTAAGAAATCTTAGCAAATCTATAAGGAAGAGAATTTTAAGGATCTTTTTTTAGTTACTTTTTCTCTTTGCTGAGACAACCCAACACCCCAGATTAAAGAAGGAAAAGTTTATTTAGCTCATAGTTTATAGAGCCTTGGCTGGCTCCAGGGCAGGGTGGCATGGCAGAGAGAAATCGCAGAGGGGAAACAGTCCATGGCTGGCAGAAGGCAGCAAAGCAGCAAAAAAGTAGTGAAAATAGCCCTTTTTCTGTCCCTTATATTCTATCCAGGATACCTGCCCTTAGGGTAGGTAGCACTCACACCCAGGGTGGGGCATCTTCAATCTTAGCATCACACCATGAATTAATCCTAGTGTCATATCTATTCCCAGTATCACACATTCTAGATCCAGCTACCTCAGAAAAGCCCCACCTATGACCACATGAGGCTTTGGGAGACATGTAGATACAAGCTATCAGATCTGAACAAGAAAAAGTCTTAGTATGCTCTCAAAATACTCTATTTCTCTGATGTACTGTATTTTCATTTCTGTACTATTAGGCTGGTCTTTGTTGGGAAGTTTGGGGCTTTAGGAATTAACTGATTCCTAGGTGCCATGTTACCTTATTATATGTTTATTGCAAAAGCACTTTTATTTAAAATAAGATTTTCTCAGAATTACAGCTTTATATAATTGTGTCACTTTAGTTCATTTTCCTAATATGTTTATGTTTGGTTCCAAAAGTGAAGTAATAAAATTCCCTGACTTCAAAAAATTTGAAAAATCAAACTTAGAAAAGAAATATAATTAAGTCATACATTCCCTCTAAAGAATTTGAAAATCAGTAGCTCCACTAGCACAATTAGCTTGTTAACCACTGCATACTTTGGTATAAGTCGATTGATAGATTGGTTTAAAGTACTTGACATTACTGCCAAAACTAAAAATGGAAAGATGATTCAGTCTATTGTAACAGATACTATGACGAATACTTGTGATAATACATAGTTCTAAAATTTGATACCCTGGTTTTTTGGGGTTTTTTTGAGACAGTCTTGATATGTAGTCCAAGCTGGTCTCAAACTCACTATAGATAGTCCAGGCTGACCTTGAACTTGCAGTGATCCTCTTGCCTCAGCCTGCCAAGTGCTGGGATTACAAGTGTGTGCCACCACACACTGCCCCTGATTAATTTTTGAAAGCATTATCACAAGGCCTCAATTGAGAGGTAATTTTTTAAAAAAGAAATAAAATTTAAACCTAAGTTACAGAAACTGAAGAAAGGACTATCTAAGAAAAAAATGATAAAACTCAGAAGCTGGACAAGGTAGGTTAGGAAACTTGCTTTATGCAGGGTTTTCACAGGTTCTTAAAGGCTATAAATTGTCTAACTAGAGCTGAGCAGCATTTGTACTCAAAGTGCTTTCAATATTGGATCCTAACAGGCTCTGGATGGACAGCAGAATGGCCTTGGTGTGATGCCGGGCAGCCCACTTGTCATTCAGGATGTCCTGGAGGATGTTACCTGGGTGTCCCCTGTGACAGTGGGAGGGCATGGAGAGCTTGGCAGATAAAATACAAATTAGATTTCTACAGTATTTCTTTGAATAGTCTGAAACTTTAAAAAATGTTCAAGTAATTTTAGATTTACAGAAAAGTTTCAATGTTAGTACAGTGAGTTCCTATGCACCCTGCATTTAATTTCCCCTAATGCTAACACCTTATGTAATATTTGTCAAAACTAAGACATTAATATGGGTACAATACTATTAGCTAAACTACAGGCTTTATTTGAATTTCACAGTTTTCCCATTAATGTTTTTTCTGTCCCTGGATCCAATCTAAGATACTATACTTCCTTTAGACTCATGTATACTTAACCTAAATTTTTCAGTTTTTCCAGATCTTGACATTTTTAAGTACTGATTAAAAATATTTTGTACAGTGTCACTCAATTCAGGTGTATCTGATATTTTCTCATGACCATGCTGGGATGATAGTTTCCTGGGGGAAAAACACCACAGACATGTAGTATTCTCTTATTACATTGTAGCAGCGTGTGCATGGTGCCACATGACTTATCAGTGCTTGTTACCCTTGATCACTTGGTGAAGATGGTATTGCCAAGTTTGTCCATTGTAAAGTTATACCACAGGAATAAGTCACTACATCCAAACAAATGCCCAAGAGGAGAGGAATTAAGCTCTACTTTTTGGAGAGGACATATTATTTCAAGTTCTATTGTAAAGAAGTTTGTCCCTTCTCATTTCTTCAAACATTTTTCTGTATAGGTTCATGAATATGTGTTGTTACAACCTAGTGCTATAATTATTTTGTTGCAGCTTTGGTCATCATGAACCATTTTCTTCTCCTTAGCCTGTTCTACTTTCTAGCACTGCAAGATGCTCTAGGTTCGGGATGTGGCTCAGTGACAAAACATGCTTAGCATGCATGAGGCCCTGGGTCCAATCCACTTGACCTCCAAAAAGTTCTTCAGGATCATCATATATTTTTTCTGCCCCAATCCTAGAATCAGTCACTTCTCTAAACAGCCCAGGAGAATGGTATTTAGAATCCAAGATTTGGGTGCTGGATGTGCTTATTGTTTTAGGGATTTCACTATTTTTAGAGGAGAGCTAAGAAATAGACGAATGCATACTAACACATGTATACACATCTACAATAACTTCTGTATTTATCTGTATACATACATATGTTTAAAATAAACCTGAGTTTATATTGTTATTTCCAACTAGGGATCCAGCACCATAGGATTTATTCTAGCCTTTGCCTTTTGCTTCTTTGTAACTTCTTTCTCTGTCAGTGACATACTGTATCTCCCATTATCTAAATAGTTATCTTTTCAGCCCCGGTACACATATAAAGTAGCTGCAAAACTGCTAACCTATGCTACTTGTAAAAGATTTACATAGTAGGGTATGGTGTTTATACACATTTCTTTTTGGACTGTGACATTATTTAGTCAAAATATATCACAAAGTTACTTAAGGCAGCACCAACAAAACATTTTTCTTCCAACAAACATTTTTGCCAACATCAGATTAATTTATAAGTCCTTATAAAGCTAATTGTCATACATACAGGTTAACAGACAGCATTTTTTAATGACTTTTTAAGTAGGCCTCAAAGCAAGTTTCAGGTGATGTACAATGAATGGGATTGCCAACTGTAACTCACCTTCAGCAGAAACAGCAAAGTGTATTAAAGATTTAAAGAAGAAACCTATCAGTACTTAAATTTTTTTCTTCCTATCTCAGCTGATTGCCTAACAAATCTAGTATCTTTTTTCTGCTTTTGCTTATTTTCTAGCTTTTTTTTTTTTTTTTACAATTTAAAAGTTGTGATAACTGAAATAGAAACAAAATATTTTTAGTTGGTGAAATTTATCTTTCTGCCATTTTGAATAAGGCCTTAAAAATGAAATGATTAAGCACCTCTACAAGTAGGCAGGAGTAAAATTAAGAGTCAATATTCAAAGAAAACTGTTCTCCAGTTTTAAGTAATGAAAGACCTTAATTTATGCTGAAAGTCAGAGTAAGAGTTGCTGGTAGCCTTCATTACACCTCATAGCACTTTGTATTCAAAGTGTTGGCTTCTTGTTAGGCCTCAGGTACTTTTTTAATCTATATAACACAACATGAAAGAATACTATGGGGTCAGACTGGCAGAACTGAACCCTTCTGACCTGCTAATGCAAAAATACAGGGGAAACAGTCTCAATCTAAGAGAAATTTTGGGAAAATCGATCAAGTAAATTCACAAATTCAACAAATTTATTTACCTTCAAGCACTATGCAATGAATCAGGAATATAAAAATGAATAACACAATCTTGCCATCAAAAAATAAGCAGTTTTTGAAGGTAAACAAAGCTAATTTTCAATATTCTGAAGGGCAGAGAAATTTTTCTTTAAGGTTGAATAAAAATTGAAGAAAGTCTAGAATTAAAACTGCTTATATTTGGGCCAGGGATTTAGCTTAGTGGTTCCACTGCCTGCTGCGCAAGTGCAAGAACCCGAGTTGAATCCCCGGTACCACACACACACACACACACACACACACACAAAAGAACTGCTTATATTGCTTTTCCATTAAAAAAAAATCATAAGCCGGCTGTTGTGGCTCATGCTTGTAATCCCAGGACTGGGGAGGCGGAGGCAGGAGGTTCACCATGAGTTTGAGGCCAGCTTGGGCTACACAGTGAGTTCAGGACCAGCCTGAACTACATAGTGAGACCCTGTATCAAAAAATAAGATAAAGTAAAATAAAATTTTTAAAAATCATAATTTGCAGTGTTGGGATTGACTAGCTATTACATCTTTTCATTGAAATGAGAAAAGTGCATAGTCTCTTAACTGAATTTTCTTTTTT